CCTAGTTCTATTAGCTCTCCTCACAACAACAACAACCACCACGTTAGACATAATATTTACAAAACATCTTCTCCTTTGAATGGATACAAGCATAACCCTGAAAAATACGAAATTCTGTGCCTATATGAACTGATGTCAGAAATGGGAGAACATAATGAAAAGACTGGTTTAATTGAAGCTGTCCAACTTCTGCGTTTGAAAGATGACAAAGATATACTTATATACTTGGAACTTATTGAAGGGAAGAGGGAAGAAGACTCTAATTCCCTGCCTGCGCCCCATCCAAACAGCAGGGTCTCCCACAGTCTCCTGGAGGGATAGAACAACAGAAACGGTGTGGCAGGGTGTGGGGATGGCTCTCAAGCTGAGCATGGCACTGATGGCTTACAGTCTACCTGCAGGGAAGAGGCTGCAGAATGAAATAGGGGTCCTTGGACATCATTACAACAGAGAGAACAAAAGAAAGAGGAACTGAAAACCTCTTTTGAGGCCCAAGTTTGGAAACAAGATGTAGGGTCAGGGGAGTGATGGTGAGGATCAGCATCATAAGTGATGGCGCAAAACCATTTTTCCTCAGTCAGTCCTGCCCATCCAGGTGCAGACAAAGGAAGACAGCCCCCAACCTCCCGCTGTCCCCCTCTCTCAGCACCATCCTAGCCTTGGCAGCCCTGGCTTCAGTACCTCAAAAATGACATAAAGAGGACCAGCAGCAACACTTACCTCTCCCTGCCATGCCCAGTGAGATCTGATATCGCACATCAATGAAGTCACAGCACTGGTGGCATCTCAACACCCTTGTTCCAGGGCTGCAGCCAGCACTGTAATTCACATACTCACTGTACAAATCATACTTAAGTTCTGCAAATGCATGCTGTCTTTGTGTGGGGCTGTTATCGCAAGAGAGGAAGGGTCAGTGAAACCTTCCTGCTAAAAAACCTGCTGACAGGACACCCCAATTCACCACAAGGCTCTGAAGGGTCGAGTGCAGGAAGGAGTTGGCAGAAGCTGCTTTCACTTTCTGCTTTCTTGTTCAAGCCGTGTAGAATACAAGACAGATGCCTTTGCTGGCCATGTGATGGCACTATTTGAACACACTTTTCCCCTTCCCAGTGCTGCAGTTTAACTTTTGTCTTAACAAGCACAAACTTCTGGGTGTTTCCAGTACGAATTTTGCAGGATAAAAGAACGAGAACATAAAAGCTTGCGGGGGGACAGACTGAGCAGCAGGGGCTGTAGAAGAACGAACTGCCAACAGGCAGCCTGGCAGGTGAGTGGCACATTGACGGGATTTCAATTGCACGCCAGCAAAGGGGAGCCAGAGCACCAACAGCTAACGGATTGCAAACTGAGGGTGCTTCAATTCAAACAGCATGCCAACACAAAAGGCCAAAAGCATGAGAAGCGCATCAATGAGGGGAAGGTGAAGCACCAACAGATGAGTACAGATTGCAAATCGAGGGAGCCCATAAATGTGTGCCAAAGCATGTGCCCAGAAGCCCAAACAATATAGCAGCAGAGGGAAGACAGACTGACAACAGCGTGCCAACAAACAGGAATAGATCACATATGGCCCAGCAATGAGGGAAATGGAGCAGCTACGCTGTGTCAGCCCACACAAACTGCCTTCTGCCATTAACCATTCAGTTCAGTCATTGGTCACAGGTATCATGAAACAATCTTCTAGACAAACAGAAAACGATTTTTCCTTTCACCATGTGTGTAGAAAGGAAGAGTTAGAGAAGGATAGTCCACAGAAAAACAGTCTCCAAAGGTAAAAGAGAGAGAAAAGTTGTGCCTCAAGTAATCCTGAGGCTAGCAAAATGCTGCAGGAAACGAGGAGGTATTTCTGCTCTAGCACACATAGGGGGCAGCTGGTCTAGGGGATTTGTGTGTGCATATGTCTGTGTTCCTTCATCGCTGTGGTGGTATCATCTTTGGTAACAGCTGGTGGGGCCAAATTCACCATGCTGCTATAGATACCAGACCAGCATTACCTGACTGCATGCATCCAGCTACACCAGGACTGGTTTGAGCCTGTCCTTTGCTTTCGGTAAACAGGTCTGTCTGTGTCAGCATTTCTCTCAGAAATATTTTTCCTGATTCATTAAAGGCAGACAGGACCTGGCAATCATCAATTCTTCCCAATGCCAGTCAGTCACTTTTCAGGTCACTATGCTTTAAAATAACTCAAAGCTCCTGAGGCAGGAACAGCCAATTGCAACCCATGTAACAGAGCTGTGGGTAACAATAACTGGGTTCTGAAAAGCAGTGGTCCCAATTGCAGAAAACTGGGGCACCACTCTGGTGAACATCAGGTTGCTTTTATCTGCACTTTGTTCCTTCTCTCAAACCTCCTCTGTCCTTTCCAGTCTCCTCCCATACCCACATGGGTTAGAAAGCACAGTGCTGTGTCCGTTCTCTTTGCCCATCTGATGGGGAGCGCTCGCTGCTGCGTTAGTGCAACATCTGCTTCTTAGTTCAGCTTTCTGCTTTGCTTTCACAGAGATCATCCCTTGTTGCATGTAAGCTGGGTTATGTCAGCCACTGACCTGGGACACAATCCTGCATTGCCAAAATGATCCCTAATCAGCTGGGCACTTAGCACCCCTGAACCATTGTAAACGCTGATTCTTGGTGCACAGCAAGCTGGTGGCACGTTTTTGGACCTTTAGTCAGAGAACAGAAAAGCAAATGCCTGGAGAAGGTCAGAGTAGAAACACTCTAGCTTCACCCACCCATCAGCAATCCTTCTATGGGTAGCATTAGCATGGCGGGCAGGCTGAGCTCTACCCTCACCCTTGCTGGTGGATGAAAGTGTTGGGCTAGCAATTAGCAACTACTGGAGAGTTCTCACAGTCCCATGGGAAATGTTTGCTGGAGATAACCCTAAGCTACTGGAGGAACCATGTTTACATGGCAAACACAGGGCGCACTCCCCATCCTCTGTTATCACACAAACCACAGTTGTCATTTCTGGGCAAATTACAGTAAGGAGGAAAGCTTTCCACATCTCAGTCTCCACCTTCAGCAAAAGTGCAGCTCCTGAAGTCCACACAGCAATGGCAGCTCTCCACAGATAAAGGAGAGTAGAACTGAGTGATGGCAACACTGGGACAGGGAGATGTACAGAAATAAAGTATGGAGCAAGAGGATAAAAGCCTCCTTGGAAATCATTTGTGCTTTGGTGTGCATGTGGATTCCAGCAGCCATACTCTAGTTTCTCTCTCTCAAGGGTTTATCTGGAGTAATGGCAGCAATGTGGAGATGGGG